GCAACTATCTTCTGTAGTTGAGAAACCCAACTCACTGCAGTACATTCTAGAGTATAGACATACTCTGTAGTGCTTCTTCTGATGTCAACATTTCCCGCTAAGTTAGCATCTATATAGCCTGTCAGTATCGTATCTCCACCTTTGAAACAAAGTGCTTTATTTGTAGTACCCCGCAGATATTTGAGGATCCATTTGACTGCTTCCCAGTGTACCTTACCCGGATTATTCATGTACCTGCTAATAGCTCCCACTGCATGAGCAATATCTGGTCTAGTATAAACCACGACATACATCAGACTTCCAATTGCTGAGGCATACGACACCTTCACCATGTGTGCACATTCTTCCTACGTCTTTAGTGAGTGCTCTTTGGAGAGTCTAAAATGAACACCTAAAGGTGTACTTACTGGTTTAACATATTGCATGTTTAACCTGGAGAGTACTTTGTTGATGTACTCAGCCTGTGATAACTTCAAAGTCCCCGACTTTATGTCTCTCTTAATCATCATCCCAAGAATCTGCTTTGTAGCACCCAGATCCTTCATAGAAAACAGCTTCGACAATTTTTGCTTCAAGTGTATAATCTCTTGCATATCTGAGCCTGCAACGAGCATGTCATCAACGTACAATAATAAAATAGTGAAGTTGTTTTCGAACCTCTTGATGTAGCAACAATGATCTGCTTGGCATCTGGTAAAACCAATGTTACTCATGAAGCTATCGAACTTCTTGTATCACTATCTAGGAGCTTGTTTTAAACCATACAAGCTCCTCTTCAACCTACATACCAGGTTTTTCTTGCCTGCCTCTATGAAGCCTTCTGGCTGTCTCATATAGATTTTTTCCTCCAAATCACCGTGAAGGAAAGTTGTCTTCACATTGAACTGCTCAAGATGTAGATTCTCTGCGGCTACAATTTTCAACACCAGTCTGATTGTAGACAGTTTTACGACTGGAGAGAAAATTTCATTATAGTTAATACATTCTTTTTGCTGAAAATATTTGACAACCAATCTTGCTTTGTAGCGTTTACTCACATCGTGCTCTTCTTTGATCCTGTAAATCCACTTGTTATGAAGCACTTTCTTGCCTGGTGGTAATTCAGCTAATTCCTACGTCTGATTTGACATAATCGAGTTCATCTCATCTTTCATGGAAGACTCCCACTTGACTGAATCCTCCACCTGCATTGCTTCATCATAGCACTCTGGTTCACCATTGTCAGTCAGCAATAAGTAGTGCAAAGAAAGCAAATAGCGCTGGGTTGGTTTAGGAATTTTGGAGAAGCGTCTTAGTTCTGGTGTGACTAGTTCTTCTTAAACTGCTTCAGGTCTGATTTGAACATCATTTCCAGAAATCTTCTCGAACTCAGCAAATTCCTTTGTTTCAGCTTCGGTATTGGAGATACTTGATTTTATGGTTGACCTGTCTTTGTACATCACATTCTCATTGAAAATGGCATCTTTGCTTCTGATGATCTTCCGATTTTCGTAGTCCTAAAACCGGTAACCGAACTCATCACCACCATAACCAACAAAGACACATTTATTGGACTTGGCATCAAGTTTACTTCTTTCAGCATAATTTATGTGTACATAAGAAATACAACAAAACACTCTTAAGTATGAAAGATTTATTTCTTTCTTGCTCCAAACTTCCTCTGGTATTCCACAATCCAAGGGAACTGAGGGCCCACGGTTGATCAGGTAAGCTGCAGTGTTGATAGCTTCAACCCATAGAAATTTGGGCAATCCGACATGTATCCTCATGCTTCTGGCACATTCATTCAGAGTTCTGTTCATGCACTCTACTACGCCATTCTGCTACGGTGTCATGGGAACTGTTGTCTCCATCTTGATCCCATTGTTTGCGCAGAAATCTCTGAATCTACTGTTTCTGTATTCTCCTCCATTATCAGACCTCAACTGCTTGACTTTCAAACCAGTCTCATTTTCCAGCATAGCCTTCCATTTTCTGAAGGTATCAAAGACTTCTGATTTGTTCTTCAAAAAATAAACCCACACCTTCCTCGTAGAATCATCGATGAATGTGACATAATATAATGAGCCTACAAGAGATGGAACTGGAGATGGTCCCCATACATCAGTATGAACCAACTCTAACTTTTCTGCCTTGGGTGTCTTGTCAATCTTTGCAAAACTGGCTTTCTTTTGTTTGCCAAAGATGCAATCCTCGCATAGTCCGACATCTACACTCTTTAGATCCAGCAGCTTCCCTTTTGACAAAAGTGTCTTCATTCCTTTCTCGCTCATATGGTCAAGCCGTTGGTTCCATAGGTTTGATTTTCCATCAGCATCTGCTACTGCAATGATATTCTCTAAATTTGAGGTTACATAGAGAGTAACAGTCTTCTTACCACGAGCAATGACAAGTGCTCATTTGGTAATCTTATATTCAAAGTCTGAAAAGGTTGTACTATATCCTTCTCCATCAAGTTGTCCTACAGAAATCAAATTTCTTTTGAGGCCAGGAATATGTCTCACTCTTGTCAGCTTCCAGGTGGTCTGGTTTGGCAACTTTAATCGGATGTCTCCTTTTCCGACGATCTTCAAGGTTTCATCATCAGTTAGATGAACATTCTCAAAATCACCACTGACATAGTTCTCCATGATTTCTTGGCATGGGGTAGAGTGGAAATATGCCCCTGAATCCAAGATCCATGATTCAATTAGACTATTGATGCTTAGAATCATGACATCACCTGTCTCCTCTGTCATGTTGGCAGATTCTTGTACGCCGGTATCTTTCTTCAGTGCTCGACAATCTCTTTTAAAGTGACCCTTCTTGCCAAAATTATAACAGGTAAAATCTTTCTTTCATGTTCTAGATTTCGATCTGCCACGATTTGAATTTCTTTTTGAAGTTCTCCTTCTTGACTCTGTGTGCAAGGCTGATGAGCTTGATGCTTCACCTGATTCTCTCCATCGAATTTCTTCACTCGATACCAGATCCCGAACATTGTCGAATTTCAATTTGTTATTTCCCGACGAGCTGTTGACTGCTGTAACAGTAGCATTCCAACTGTCTGATATAGATGATAAGAGAATTAAAGCTCAAACTTCATCATCGAATTCAATTTCCATGAAACTAAACTGGGTTGTGATTGTGTTGAGTTCATTTAGGTATTGAGCCACTGATGCCCATTCTGCCATCCGTAAATTGAATAATCGCCTCATCAAGTGAACTTTGTTTGAGGCCGATGGCTTCTCATACATACTGGAGAGAGCCGCCATAAGACCCACCGTGAACTTTTCCTTTGCTATGTTGAAAACAACATTGCAGGATAACGTTAGTCGGATAACTCTGAGGGCTTGTCTGTCGAGAAGAGCCCAGTCTTCATTCTTCATGCCCTCTGGTTGCTTTCCTAAGAGAGGTTGATATAGATTTTCTGGTACAGAAATTCTTTAATCTGCATCTTCCAAAAGCCAAAATTTGCACCATCGAACTTTTCAATTTTCACCTTCCCTTCGTTTGTAGCCATCGCTCCCACTCGAATCTGGCTTCGTTTGGATCATTTCTAACAATTCTTGTGAACCACCGTGTATTAGAACACCTCTGTCGACAAATTCGTATCACCGACAAAAATTTACTATTCACAAAATTCACTATTCACATGAATAGTAATAAATAATAACCTCGCAAAAAATTGACAAAATTCACAACTAAAAGCTCTGATGCCAGTTGTTGGGAAATAAACGAAAACAAGTAATTTCCGTATAACCAGATTAGTGAGAATGCAAAATAAAAGCGAAAAAAATAATACCCGAAATTGATAACGGAGTTCAGCCAATTACGCCTACGTCTCCGGACTGCTGCAGATCTTTTACTAAAGAGAAAATTTACAGGTATTTACAAAAACACTCACAACTCACAAGAGAACTCTCTAAACTCTTTAGTATTGAGATGAATAAATGATTTTGGGATGATTTTGAAGCTAAATGGGTTAGGGTATTTATAGTTGAAGCTTAAGGACTAATCTTATAAATATCCTTAAGTTCAGGGACTAATTGTAATTATCCAATTTTCATTTTCAACAAAAAACTTTCGGTGCATTTAAAGCCACCGAAAGCTTCCCACCTTTTTGACTATTTTCCAACAGATATTATAAGATTTCATGATTTACTTGGAATAAAAAATTATAAATATTAAAATTTCAATGTATAACATTTTTTAGTAGTCTAGAATGATTATAAGATATTGTTTATTTAGATTTTTTTAATTTGTTAATAACATATACATACTCTACATACACAATTACTTGAATCTAAAACATTTTAAAAATAATATTATCTTTTGTTACTGAGACCACAATAAAAGTTTACATAAAACATCTCTTAAAATCAATGATACTTAGGGTTCGTTTGGTTGGGGGAAAACATTTTACGGAAAATGAAATCTGGAAAAATGAATTACATTTCTGGAAAACATTTTCTGGAAAACATTTTCCAGTGTTTGGATGGTATATTGTAAAATGTTTTACACTGTTTGGTTAATTTTTCTAAAAACAGTTTTCAAAATCTGTTTTTAATAAAGAAGTAAACATATTCGATATGTTTTTATTCTTTATTATTTTTAAAGGTTCATTTTTTATATATATAATTATATTTTATAAAAATCTATATTTTTATAAGTACGACAAACTAAATTTTTAGATAATATTAATAATTTATTTTGATTGTATTATAAATACACTATTTTAGGTTTAAAATCTTCATGATGCTTATTCATTCGTATTTTTAGAAATGAATTTCAACATATAATTAATATTTTGTAAGTTTATTTGATATAATATTAATAATTGATTAAAAATATATTATAAAAGTTTATAAATATTATGTAGGTTTAATTAATAGTACACCACATTAAAACAACAATGATACATAACTTCTCAAAAATATTATAAGAATTAGTTCAGAATATAACAAAATTTCTCAAAAACAACAAATAAATGTCTTAAAAGAACAAAAAATGTACTAAACATTTCATTAACCAAAACATCACATTCAAGATCCAACATCACAACACATGATCTATATTTTGCAAGAGTCTCCAAAATTACAACTCTCCTTCCAAATGATAGACCACTAGTATCGCTCAATCCATTGAAAGTTCCAACAATCAAGCTAAGAATATCCTGAAAGCATGCCACAAATCAATCACCAGACAGTTGAAAATTTATTATTTTCTAAGAAAATTAAGACAAAAAACAATAAACCTTCATGAAAGAAAAAGCACCTTTAGAATATCATCACTATAAGGCGCTTCAGGCGCAATTATCCGAGTTATCTCACAAATACAGGTTGCAACTAGAAGTTTGGCTTCCCGATCTTGATGATTCAGCAGTTCTGGCTTGACAATTGCATTAAGAAAAGGCTGCATTGATTCCACTATTGATGATGGTGGAGACTGGTCAATCTCAGAGAGACATGTAGCAGCTTGTTGCGGATTAGACGGAAAACATTCAATGATATATGCCAAATAACCAAATTAAAAGGCTGCAGCTGATTTTGATACACAATATATATATGAATTCACAAGTTCAATCATCCAACAAGATGTACAAGATTCATGAAGTAATACATATTACCACAAACCCGACTGTCCAAGCACATAGGTCTGATGCTAGATGTGTGCAAGTAAAATGATAAAGAACATGTGAAATAGACAAGAATAAAAGAAAATATAGGAAAAAAATCTTTACTACCATTAAGAATTATCAACCAATGCATGGGTCGTATCAAGCCTTTAATATAGTTTGGAAAAATAAAATGCACAATCAGTGATTCAAACAAACTTAAAAGATAAAAATATCTAAGCTTTTCACTAAACCACCAATAAATTTGAGTCCATAAAATAAAAGAACTATCATCTTTCATGAATAACAAGATATCTCTTCATGTCATAACAAGTTTACCATTAGAGATTCCAAGCACCATGTGAGACCAAAATAAAACCAATCCATATTCGAAAAAATCTCTTTGGTCTATGTTTGGATAAGACAATAATTCTTTAAATAACTAGTTGCTATTGATTGAGTAAATTTTAGTTTTACAAAATCCAACATAAATTGAATTCCACGGTTGGAAACATAAAATTCAAAATTCAGATTTCAAAACAGAACATGCATACATTATGTGTAAATTGCAGAGATCCAACATGATTGCCATAAATTTCAGTTTTACAAATATCAATCCTATTTCTGAAATCCAAATCCACTGTTTGAAATTCAAGCTCCCAAAACCTAAAGAAATCGGGAAATTCTTACATCGTTTAAGAGTAACCCAAACAGAGCCGGTCTCAGTGCTTCGCTCAAACATGCTCGTAAGTTCATTAAGAAAAGGGTCTGGCTGTAGAAGAACCTTAACGAAAAACAAAAAAAAATCAGCATAAATCATATCAATAAGATCAAATGCCCAAGAAATAAAAACGAACATAAATAACGAAATTACAACAAATCAAAACCACCAAACATATATACTAAGAGGGGAAAAAGCTAAACATAATTCAAAAGCGAATAATAACCTTTATGATTAAGCAAAAGCCTAAAAAATGTTCTTCAATTTGTTGAATTCAGAGAGAGAGAGAGACGAAAGCCCATAACATTAAATAAACGAAAAAGGATTAGAAGGGATGTTGAATTACCATGATTAGGAGAAACTTTGTGAATTATGGGAACAACCCTAATTCAACCAATTAGGAACGAACTTTAGCTAAGCAATCTAAAGTTCAGTGGAGAAGTAATAAAAAGTTGAAGAATGCGTGCCTTTAACAGCTTGAGAATGGCGTCCTTCGCGGATGGAGGAGATTCCAACTTGGATCCCAGCTCCTTGAGCTGCTCTTCCAGCTTCTCCGTCAATGAGTCGTGGACTCGATAAAATGAGAGATAGAAAACAAAGAGGGAAAAAGGGGAAGAAGGCCACTGGATCGATCGAAATTTGGTGTGGAGCGAAGGAAAGAAAATGAAGGAAAATGACTTACCCTTTTCCAGACGGTAAGTCATTTTACAGGAGACAGGAAGGAGTTTTACGTTGACCGTAAAACTAAATCCATTGACTTTCTTATTTTACGGGAACCAAACACCTGAAAACGCCCCTAACCAAACACACCCTTAGTTTCCTAGAAATTTTCATGATTAAATCAATAAACATGGGTGAGAAACGGAACTAGAGCATCCAAAACATCAAAGTGTGGCGCCATCATCATGTAAGTGTGATGCAACTTTCTCATTATTATATTGATAATTTATTTAGGAGGAGGTCTGAACTCTGAATTGACTGGCTTTCATTAATTTATTAATTTTCAAACTTTTTGACGCACATGTTAGAAGAATACTTTGCCTTCAAGATTAAACGGCATAAATAATAATAGTAACACCTTGGAAAAAGTATGTTTAAAGGTAATTAGATTCGGGGAGATCTCTAGCATGATTCTTGGTCAAAAACATCAAGCATATCTTTTACCCAAAAAATCCAATCCTCAAGCTGATAAAATCTTTTGAATATCATGCTTTTATATCTTTTAAATATATTCATGTTTAATTTTAATTAATTTATATATTCATATATTTTCTCAAATTATATTGAAAATGAAATCTAAATCATAAAATTAATGATTTTTCATATACCAAATATAATCATAATTGTAAACATGGAATTAATTTTGGTGGGGCTCTCGCAGCCCAAATTTAAGTTTACTTCAAACGTGATGCAGTCCACAAATTTTGCTCCTTAAAACTTGGACCATAACCCATACAAGTTTAGATCTAAAAAACATGATATACTGTTTTTTTTAAAAGAAACAATTAATTTTATTAAGAAAATAACAAAAATTATAATGAGAGGTTATAATTAGAATTTTAAACTAAACAATAATTTGGATATTCTTCGACAATAAATTAGACAACTAATATCATATATGAATCATATAAAAAATGATGAAAAAACATTTATAAATCTCGAACAAGAAGTAGATACAAACATATTTGACTGCAACAATAAATGAACCACCATAATAGAGGATTAAACTATTGAAAGAGCAATGATAAATGCAAATCAGAGTCAAACATCGTGAGAAAACCATCTATGGACGCAAGTTGCGTATCCAAATCTAATTCAATGGTCCAAAATAGAAAAGATTAGCGAGATAACAAATGAGCGTCATCTTGATTAGTTACGACAACGTCAAATCCAACCTTAAAAAGAAGAAGAAAAGACAAATAACCAAACGATAAAAAATTAAAACTGAAAAACGTGTCAAAAGACAAATGAAATGTGTCATAAAAACAAAAAATGTATTACAAATATAAAGAAAAAATTATCATAAAGACATAATTATTACAAATAAAAAACAAAAACAGTGAAATAAAAAATAAATGATAAAAGAATACCGATAACAACACTAAATTTAGTATCAGCGTCTGCTAAAACAACACTAACAAAACCACTCTTTAGAGAAAAGAAAAAATAATGGTTTTTATATGAATTTAATTATCACATAAATTATAAAATAATTTGAAAATATATTTATAAATATATATTAATGTTTAAAATAACAACTGAATATGCCATACCGTATCCATTGATATAGTTTACCTTAAATTTTAGAGTTAATTAAATCATATGTCTCCAAACTATAATCCTCATTTTAAATTGATCCTTAAATTTTTTAATATTTTAATTTTATCTCCAAATTATGACTCTCATTCTAATTAGTCATTAAAATTTTGAACATTCTAATTTTATCCCTAAACTATGACCATCTTTCTAAGTTAGTCCCCAAACTTTTGAATATTCAAATTTCATCCCCAAATTCATCCAAATATGTAATTATTTTCAACCATAGTTTTAAATGTTGTTTTTTTAAACATATAATAACATAAATTAGCCTAACGATTTTATTAACAAGGGATGTGACTAGTATATACTTATTGTTTGGGATGAAATTGGAATGTTCAAAAAGTTTAGGAACCAATTTAGAGGTAAGGTCATAGTTTGGGGATGAAATTGAAATGTTAAAAAGTTTGAGGACTAATTTAAAATGATAGTCATGTTTTAGGGATGAAATTGAAATATTTAAAAGTTTAGGGACCAATTTAAAATGAGTATCATACTTTGAGGATGTGTGATGCAACTAACTCTAAATTTTAATAAATAATTATGAATCACACTTATTTTTAGGGGTAAACTATATAGTTAGTCACTAACCTATTCTCATGATTTTGTTTTAGTCATTTAACTAATTACATTTTAGTTTCGTTTTGCTCACCCGTCGTTAAAAAATTAACTAATGTTGACATGTACCCCTAACGAAAATGTCACGTCATCATTGAAAATAATTATCATGTTAGTAATTTGTTTATTTTTTAATGGTGAATGACTAAAATACAATGTTATATATATGATATTTTTTTTATAAAAAAGAAGTTAGGTGACCAAAACGAAGCCGCATGAATAAGTGGGTTATTAAATATTTAGTTTACCCTTATTTATATCATACGTTTTGGTCATGCAACTATTTCCCCCCCCCCAAAAAACATACCTAACGTTAAGTTTTAGTCATCTACTGTTAAAAAAATACCGGTTATGCTAAAGTGTTACTATAAGGTAATATCACATCATCATTGAAAATGTTACGTCATCAATTCTATTTATATTTTTAACATGTGATCAAAACGAAATCAAAACGTAATATTATGTATAATGAAAAAAACTAACCGAATGATAAAAAAAAGCACCAGTAATAATTTGGTGACTAAATATTTTGTCTACCTTGTCGTAAATAGCAATTGGTACAAGTGCTTGGATGTAGTAGGGGTGTTTATATCTAGTACCCGAAATTTTCTTGTACTAATATATTAATTAGTGTCCCGACTCGTAATAAGAAGATACCCACAAATCGTGTACCAGTATAACTCAAGTACTCTAATTTTTAGGTCATAGATATCCAATTAATATTTATTTTAAAATTATATTATTTAAAAAATACATAGAAAAATTAGAAAACTTAAAAGGCTCCAATACATAACCTAAACATAGAATTTAAAAATATAAATCATATAATTCAAAAATAAAATTTAAACATAAAATAATAAATTAAAAATTAAATTAAATTTAAAATATTTTAAAGTTAAAATAAATAATTAAGGAAATAATCTAGAAGGTTAAAGGTGATATAATTTAAAAAATTAAAAATTTAAATGCTAGGATGTAAAATTTTAAAATTGAGAATAAAAATTTAATCTATAATAAAATTTTGAAAAAAATTAAATAATCAAATAATCAAGCACTCAATTAAAAATAATTTTGTGATCTAAACTCGACCCAGAAACTTACGTAAAATAGTGGGCCGAATACTTAACCCAAAAATTGAAATTTTCACCCTAAAATACTTCGATAATTTTAAATCGAGTTGACAGACGAGGTACTTCATATCAAATATATTTGAACCCCTCTAGATAGTAGTATAGTCATCCAGTACTTTCCCGCCTAAACCAACAAAAAAACGGTGGTAAAAGAGGTAAAGCATAAACGCTCTGAAACCACCGCTACAAACGCCACTAAAGCGGCAGTCACCGTACCTAATTACTAAATAAGCAATTTTCATTATTTTTTATTCTCGGAGAACAAGAGCCAATGGTAATTTCATTTTCTGTCAGCGCTTTCTTATCTCCAATTGTGTCGCTCGATCTTCAGTTCTTTACATTTTCTGACGAATTGTTTGTGAAAATGTCTGAAAGAATTTAGGGTCTTAGAGTTTGTGTGTTAGCATGATGAGTCAGCAAAAATGGTGCTCGTGTTGCTCGTACTACTCGTATGCATGCTTAGCTAGCATGGTGTTGTTAGTAAAGTAGTTAGGAGCTTCTTGAAGTTGTTAGTGGCAGTTAGGGTTGTTAGTATTAGTTGTGAAGTCTATTAGGCTTGTATTAGACATTAGAAGTTGTATATAAACAACAGAAGTTTTGTATTCCATACATAGTTCTTTACACAATCAATATACAAGTGTGATACTTTCTTTACTGGATACTGGTTGCTCATCTCTTCTTCATAGTCACCTTGCCATTGATGGCCCCTTTCTCACATGGTATCATTCGCTAACAGATCCTGGCATCGTTTACTCTTCCGCTGTTGCACCGACGATTGAGTTCTTTTTCTCTCAAGTTGTAGCTACTGTAGACTTCATCATTTTTTTGCAGTTTTCACTAGCGAATGTCTTTGTTAATAACTGTCTTCTTGACATGTACGTAAAATGTGGGTGTATAGAATTCGCTGGAAAGTTGTTCGATCATATGCCTGAGAAAACTGTGGCATCATGGACAACAATGATATCAGGTTACTGCCAGCTGACGAAAGGATAACCACTTTTATTCAGATACTGGAGAATGAGTGCACCAATGAATTCACGCTAGAAGCTGCTTTACAAATTGTTTTCGAAAATTGCAATTCTGGATTCATTTGTATTCTACACGGTTACATGGATAACATTTTACAGAACTCTTTGATTGGCGCATATGCAAAATTTGGGATTTTATCATATGCGGTTAAGCTTCTTGAGAGATTAAGTTCCCGAGATGTTGTTGCTTGGACTTCTATTATTTCAGGTCATGTGATTCGTGGATCCATGCATGAAGCGCTTATGGTTTTCTTTAAGATGCAATAAGATGGGGTTGCACCCAACGAGGTGACAATTATGAGCATTTTACATGCATGTTCCTTCATTGGACGACTAAGGATATTGTAATGGGTTCATGGCTCGGTTTCAAAATTGGGGTGGCATCAACATGAACTTGTATTGAATTCTATAGCTGAGACGTACTTAACTAATGGCCACTTCACTGAGTTGTAGTAGAGTTCTATCTCTGTACTTGACTCATCGTTTTACAAGAAAAAATCATCTATTTCCCTTGTTAAGAAAGGGAGTATCGATTTCAAAGAACATGATACTTGGAGTTTCTCCGTGATCTCATCCGACGAATCTAAGTCTGAAGATAAATTAGACGTTTGTGATTTCATCTACACTTCCGATTCAAGTCGAACGGAAGGAAGCTTCGGCACTTCCGATCGGAAGGAGGCATTGACACTTCCGATTCAAGTTGAACGGTATAAGGCATCGACACTTCCGATTCAAGTCGAATGGAATGAAGCATCGGCACTTCCGATTCAAGTCAAACGGAAGGATGTAGCGCACTTTCGTTTCAAGTGTTCGTCTTTTCATCAAGAAGCGCATCAAGTGGCTGATGGTTTTACTAAACCATTGGCTAAAGCAACATTTGAAGTTTTTCGAGAGAAGATTGGATTTCATGGATGTTCAACTTCAGAAGAGCAGAAGAAGAAGAAGTAGAGGGAATGTTAGCATGATGAGTCAGCAACAATGGTGCTCGTGCTGCTCGTGCTACTACGTATGCATGCTTAGCTTGCATGGTGTTGTTAGTAAAGTAGTTAGGAGCTTCTTGAAGCTGTTAGTGGTAGTTAGGGTTGTTAGTATCAATTGTGAAGTTTGTTAGGCTTGTATTAGACATTAGAAGTTGGATATAAATAGCAGAAGTTTATATTCCATGCATAGTTCTTTACACAATCAATATACAAGTGTGATACTTTCTTTACTGGTTACTTGCTGCTCATCTCTTCTTCATACTCACCTTGCCATTGATGGCCCCTTTCTCACATTGTGGTATTTAGACTTTATTACTTAATTGTTATAATGTAGAAATAAAATAACCAAAATCAATTGGTTAGCTTGAACTAACGTTTTTTACTTTTGTTTTTGTTTTTTTGCTATGAACCCTTTTTTGCTTACAGGAAGTTAATCAACAGGCTAGATGTATAGAGTTGGCTAAGTCGTCCTCGTTTTACAGTGCTGTTTACTCTGAGGTTATTTAAACATTTTTTTATTTATTCTTATGTCAAAAGCATTTTATGGGTTTGGTTTGATTTGTCGTGTTATTTTATTATTACAGACTGAAGAGATTGGATGGGAGCATTTAGTGAGGGTGGGAGGAGATCTAAATTTCCTTATTTTTCGTGTTTTGTAAGTACCCTTTTGATTGCATTGTCAATTCATCTAATATCAGTTTCCTAAAGGAATGGAACACCTTTGGCATTTCTGAACATTGTTACTAGAAATCATATCTTCCTAGCGTTTTTCAAATTGGTACAAGTCCCAAATTCAGGAAGACTTGCAATTCAATTCAGTAAAACTAGCAATCTTATTAATATAGTTTATTATAATATTATTGAGTAAAAGAATCCGTTAATAAACATTAGAATTTATTTACTTAGAATTATATGTTTATATAGGAATATATATACATATACACGTGTGTAATGTATATATTTATAGATATGGATGGACTAAGGGGGATAGGTTGGCTGCTTAAAAATTTAAAATTATTATATAATTTGATTATTTTATATGTATTTTCTATTGAAAATTTATCTTCGTCCCCCTTGAATTTTATAAGTCGTCCCCTCCTAAAATTTTAGAAGTTCATCCCCTAATATAAAATTCTCCATCCGTCCCTATATGTATGTGGATATATATACATCCAAAAATATGTTTTATACTCTAATAAATCGTACTTCATTCATCCTAAATGAATTGGACAACACGACTATCGAATTATGTTCCATAGAAATAGCAAATTGCGTTCCGATTTTCATTCCCTGTACTAGACGATTTGCGTTCCAGGTAACATAGTTTCTGAATGTGATCCGTTTCGTCATATCTGGAACGAATCTTGTCAAACAAGAGATGGACTAATTACTAGCATTGACTTTAAAGTTTGTTTGGTTCCATGGTTTTCTAAGGTTTTAGTAGGCAGTTTAACTGAAAAGTGGTGAGTTCATTTCGCTTTTGCTGAATCTGAAATCAGATAATTACCGAGTGATTAAGCATAGATTTTTTAGGCAAGTCCTACTTCAATCATCAGGGTTAGTCTTATAAATCATGTTTGTCCTTTGGTTTCTCCAAAGAATCAATGAAATCTATATATTTTCTTAGGATGGCATTGATGATCCAGTGTTATGTAGAGAACCTCCAATATCCAGTTTGCTGATGTCTTTAATTATTTCTATTGTATCAATTAATAGCTCTTTTGTTCTCTGTTCTTATCAATTCTAGTAACTATTTATTTTTGTATCTTTCATGTAGTTTTAACGCATAAGTGGCCATATCTGAAACCTGGAGGCTTGGATCTTTTTTCTTAAAATTGATAAAAAAAAATCATATTGGCGTTAGAAAATCATCAGTTCACATTGCGGTTTAAATCAATTATTTGTTCCTTGTTGCTTATCAAATTATACTTCTTGTGCATTTCGGTGCTAGAGATACAAAGGGAAGAGTGCGTGTTCTGGAAATTGAATTGGATAAAGCTTATCCTAAAGTTCCTCCAATGGTTTCAGCGGTTTGTCTCCGGTCCTTTTGGTCTAATTCTTCCAATGGAGGCTTAGATGCCTTTTAAAATTCCTCTGTTCTGTCCTCAGGATGTTCCATATATCTTCAATTTAGAATGGACAATGAACTCAAGACTTAAAAACTTGGTACAACAGTTTTAGGAGGTATTAACTTCAACATTTTTAACCTATTATAGTTCCTTTTTGCTTCAGATCATGTTTTGGTTCCATGGCATTTTACTATTGTTAGAACTTAGGAGTCCTCCTTCCTATCCAGCATCTGGAGAAGCTTCAAGGATTCTGGTCTACTTTGGAAGAAATTGACAGGTCTCTTCAGATTGTTGATTTAAAGCAGGCATCTCGTGCGATTGTGAGTCGCCAAATTCAAGTAGGTGAGTAATTTCTTCATTCCATCTTCTTATGTATGTTTGTTCTTGCCCCCTTTGTTATACTGAACACAAGGTTTAACTATTTTCTACTCAGGAAACGATTGCTCTATGATATTGTCTATCAATATCAATGATCCTAGATCATTACCAGAGTAAGAATTAATATAAAATTATATTAAAAGCTTCTTACATTTCCTTTAGTATGAATAATTAATATTTAGGTCTTTGTAGGTGTCGTTTAATGGGTTCAGGTATTGTTGTGAACTCCTTGAGAAAGACATGGAAAAAAAATGTTGATAAATGGTATGTCCTTAAGTCTCGGGTTTTAACTTTTGCACTAGTGAAGTGAGTGTGTCCTTAACAGTGGAGAAAAAAAATTACAGAGCTGTGTTAATTCCTTCTCTAATGACAGTATGGCTCGATTAGAATCTTAAGGATTCTATCTAATTTAAGATTAATGAAGCTTACAATATCATGTTGTGTACGGGATAGGTTTCATTTGATTGTAGCAACTTTTATTATTGTGTTTCATTTATATATTTATTATATTTATATAGTCTGATTAATTGTGTAGGGTGAAGGATATTGCCTTCTTAGAAAATCTTGAGTGTCTTATGAACACCCAATTGCCAAGGCTCGCTGATGAAGAGAAGAATAATCGTCTAGATGAATGTGGAATCTGTTATGCTCGATATCTCCCCATAGGTAATGCTTTACATGCTTTAGATGTCTCAGAACAATTGTTTGCAGACTTAACTCTCAAATGTCTTGTAGGTGATGAGCATAGACCTAATAGTGGAAATGCAACTGATTACACTTGTGAGAATAACAGTTGCAGTAAGGCTTTCCACACCATGTGCCTAGTGGACTGGTTGCGTTCAATCACAACTACAAGGCAGTATGTGGAACTCTAGCATACTTGTATATTTTAATCTAGTTCATGTTGGAACATTATTTTATTTCCCATTCGCCATGTGTTGTTATCAGTTGTAATTTAATTGCTTCCATAGTATCCTGCTTCTGGCATTGGACTACCTGTCCACCCAAATGATTCAAACCTGCAAACAAGTTAGGTAACTTGATTACCGTTTATGTCCTTTCTGTCTTATTGGTCTAGTACACCTAGTGCCCTTGCATAGAGGTAGGACCAACCATTACTGGTCTCACATTCTTCTGTTGCAACTAGGTACGGGAACACTACTTCTGAAGTCTGATCAAAAGGGACCTATGTAAAAGTTGAAGGGGCAATGTAATTGCATGTAATTTGGATGTCTTCTAGGATTTAGATGCATTTGCAGCATTTATCAAGCTTTTAAAGGCATAAATGCATTATCCAAAACGTTGTCCAATAATTGTCGGAGCTGCTTTCATCCATTAGAGTGAATGGTGTTATGCTTGCTAAGTTGATGATTCATTGTACCAGTCTTTTCATGCACGGTAAACTGATTTGGCTTTGATTGTTTGTGCATACACCCCATTCTAATTAACTGATTATCTATTAAACCAATCATATTATGTTATTATATGGTTTCCCCTTCCTAACACTCCAATGAGTTTCCCAAGAAATAATCCAAGTCTATCTTCACATTTTGATGTGGAGATTATTTGCAAACAGTATGAAAGAAATATTTGCACGAACCGATCTGCAATGTCCTTGAAAGGCTAAACTAGCACTAGGGATCTTTTTCATCTTATATCATACAATGCTTACCATGTGCTTCTCTTTCTTTTCGTTATTTTCCTTGGCAGCTTGGTTTATGGTTGTGAGTGCTCGTGTTGCAGGTCATTCAATGTTTTGTTCAGAAATTGTCTGTACTGTTCAGAGGCAATTGCAGTGAAAATCAATGCCACAAAGAATTAGGGATCTTACAAGTCTTATCTATAATCCCAAGCTGATTCATCCTGTCCCAGAGAACCTTACAAGAGTAAAAGAAGCGGGCCTATTTCCTAGCGGCCAAAGCAGCAAAACTTTGAGGTCTTTCAGTATAAATTCTGAACATTAAGGCTTCTCTTGTCCATTCAGCTATTGAAAATCAATTCTATTTTGCAGAAATAAGAAGTATTAAAATAAGAGTAACTCATTATTAAATGTAGGTTTGTGCCCACTTGTAGTCTACTATTACTTGTGAGCAACAATGGTATGTGGCTTTGCCTTCATTATGTTTTGTCCAGATTAATCTTAGGCTCCTATCTACTTTGATCAAAAGTGCTTCACTTGAATGTAGATTCTTTGTCCCAATGCATTTCATCTCTATGGCGTTGTATGTCATATTCCAACACTTGAAATTACTAATTAATTCACACTTGAAATTCTCTAATGGGAATCTATTTTCTTTGGAGAACTATTTTCATCTCTGGTCTTGTTTTTTTTTTTCCATTTTTTTAAGACAATCTAAATGAGAATGAATGGGAATGGAGTTGTAGAAGGCGCTTCAGAGGATGGCCCCTTGTCTCTAGCTTTAATGGTTTGCTCGTTTGAGGATTTATGCCTGATGGGGCCCTAGTAAATACACCTCACGTACCAAACATGGTCGGCTCCGCCAAGTTGGTTATTTCCTTTCTTTTAACAGCTATAAAGCATTAAATTAACTAATCAAAAGATTGGGCCAATAACACTAGGATTTTCCCCCTTCTTGACCCATGAACCATTAATGCAAAACTTTATGTCTTTGTAAGCATCAATATCTTTTTTTCCCATATGATATAATCTAGATTGTAAAAGAAATAATTGTTAATGTGAAATATTATCCTCTTAAAATGGTTTTATTGATTAAATTGGAATTTTGTTGATTGAAAAGGCTGAATTGTGTTGGTTTTTTTTAGTTTATTCCTTATGATTTGAACGGAAAGCTATACACTATGGTTGGTATGTTGAAGAAGATAATGGTGAGAGTATGAGAAAGTGTTAGTGTACCAGAGAATTCACTTCTCCTGTCTTGCATGGTGACTTATATGTAAATTCTTAGTGCTGGTGTGAGACCTAAGGTGATGATGATTATTTATAAATTGATATGATTAACAAATTTGATTGTTATAATACAGATTTGGCCAATAGATTACGTAGGCATGCTAATAGTATATTAAGAAATTATAACTGGACGGAGGGTTAAAGATTTTATGGCCGAAAAACTAAAAATGAAAGTGTAATTTATGGAGAATATAAGGAGGAGATACAATAATAATAATAAAAATATAATTTGTTGACGTCATAAATTAGAGTTCAAGTTTTACATTCCATTATTCTTTTTAAAAAATAACAACACACAACTTTGTGTTGTATCTGGCCAGCGATTTGGAAGTACGGAATCCAGCTTTTAGAAGGAAATAAAAGGCCAAAATCTGGACCTCAGAAAGAAACGAAGTTCCTTCCAAAGAAAAAATATGGATGAGAAATGAAGGGACCATCGTCCTGATTTGATTCATGCGTGGGACGACCAATATGAATCAAATTTTGGCCAAACATTCAACTTCAAAACAATAAAACCAAGGATGGGACCATTCACATATCAAACGGAACCAAATATTTCAAACACATTTCTAGCATTCAGTCATTTCCTTGTTTCTACCAATAGTTTTTGCCTTGGGGCTGAAAACTGAGAATTGGATGCTATAATAATGAAACAAAAAGTATTTAAATAATTATACATTTGGCTAGTGCTTTTTATTGGCCACAAAAATAATATGGACCAAATACAGACAGAGATACAAATAGGGATCGACTTCCACAAATAATTTGCACACAAGACCTGTTTATTTCCCTTTTTATATACTCCTCTTGTGGCACTATTATGGTACAAAGGGAGAGGGGCATATACGTCAAGTATGACATGAAGACGTACGGTAAAAATCAAATATTCTGGACAGTTGAGTTGGATAATGGTATTTCAGATGCCGGCCATGCACTCTGGTGGGGTAACCGGGTATCGGGACTTGTCGGTGCAGTAATCGTAGATCACATGGTTCATACGTACCCACTTGTATCTCCTAGCTTCCATGGCATTCAGAGCTTGATAAGCTGTGCCCTCCCACCAGTTCCCAGCGTTGGTGGCACAGTTTGCTGGCCCTGGAACCGGACATCCTTCAATGTCGAAGTCCTTGTAGTAAGCCAAGAAAGGAGCTTTGCTCCAATCTATTTTCTCTAGGCCTCCCCTTGTTGCCCAATCATCCGCTTCCCACAGCGTTGAATACACCCCCATTGGCTGCATTTTTGGGTATGGGATGTTTCTTGCTTCATTGTTCTTGTAAACTCTGATTGGTACTTCATCAACATAAAACCTATAAAACCACAAACCCCAACCATTAATACTCTTCAACACAGTTTTAAAGTGTCCTGTGAAAACTTACACAATATGATGATGGTTCCACATGATTGTGTAAGTATGGAAATCTGCAGCCGGGTCGAACCAAAGGTTAACCCTTTGTTCCCTGTCACCTTTTCCATGAGCATAGATGTTGGTTTGGACAGTATAAGGTTGCCCGGTTCGGTTTCCCAAGAACTCAAAATCTAACTCATCTCTGACAGTGTCTGTATCAGAATTCATCTGCAATCCAGATTATAATGAAAACCAATTTTTTCAGTGTTTCAAAATGTAATTGAAGATCACGTCGATAGATTTACGTACATAAAAGGCGGTGACAGTGCCGGCGGAGTCACCGGGGATGAGCTTGATCTTCATACTGACACGTCCAAATAGATACTTGCTTTTGGAAGCAAATCCACAGCCTAAAGAAAGCGAATAACAACAGGTGATTAAGAGTAACATGACATGGTTTAAATTTTTACTTCAAAATAAAAAAGTGACCGCACGAAATGTATAACCTGAATTTTGGTCTAGAACAAGTTGGATGGCCCTTCCTCCATCGATTTGCCTGATGTGGGATTCGGACCAAGTGACTCTAAAATCTTCGAGGAAAGTGGCTGGTCGCCCCGAGACCAAGAGCGAAATGGCAAGAAAACAAGAGAGAAATAGAACAAAAGCATTGGTTAAAGACGCGATTGACACCATGTTTAAGGCAAGATAAAAGAGAAATTTATGGAGTTTGATATGGAGATGAAACTGAAGTGTACGTATATAAATAGGCGGGAGAGATTAGAGAGGTTGATGTAGACCACTGCATTGAAATGGAAAGAGGCATCATCAGCTTAGCTTTCGATCCAGCTAATGGCAAGCCGTCTTTAGGGCCTACACCGTCTTCTTATTTCTGCCTTTCGGAACCTAATCTTTTTCATCATCTTCTAACTTAATGCTTCCACTCCATAACTTTCTTTTCATCTTTCTCTTCCTTTTTATTTTTATTCCCAAACACCAAATTTCATAATGACTGCTATCAGTATTCACCATTTCTTTTAAAAACTGCAACACAAGTGATTGATTACATATATGGTTGGACATTTCAATAATGGAAATTGATATGGTGTGTATATCAAATGTAGATAAGGACCCAAGCTATATACCAATGAGGAGTGCCTAAAAATATTGGTCAACTAGGGTTTGGACGTAAATTCCAATGCCAATCTCATTCAATCACCCTTATCTGCGTGCAGCTTAGAGATTGCGATTGATATCGAACGCCCAGTTTGGCCGGTTCCGCCGAGTCCATGCCCCCACCGCCAAGTTTTTGGCCTCTCATCTTACCGTCTAGCTAGGGGCTGCACTTATTTTCCTGTTAATGGCTACCTCTTTACACAAAATTTAAAATCTTTTTTTTAATAGTTTAACGTGTAATTACAGCGTAATATTTGTTCAGAATTTTTCTTAGTTATTGACAACATACATAAGATGTAACTATTCAATCCCGAATGAGAATAAGATTTCCTTTTACCACTAAGTCACTCAATAGATTCAAAAAAATCTAACTCGTAGAAAAAAGAAACTCATTATATATATAATATCGACCTACATATCACGAATTAATTGAACTTAATTTAATTTATAAAATTATAAAAGTTTTAAAATTTAAATAAAATCATATCTGTATTGATTTAGAGTCGTCGACCAAATTAAAAGCGTTGGATATATCAGATTGCATTTTTAATAAAATGAATTAATTTTAACTTTAAAGATTATATCATTAAAATAAATACAGACCATTAAACATAAACATTCAAACCAACATTAAAATAAAGAAAATGACCAATTGAATTTTGTGTTATGATTTAACGAAGCAATAAAACATGAAATTGTCAAAAATTCAAACCTTATAATAAAATTATATGATTATAAAGATTAAAACAAAAGACATGCAGTTGTGTTCTTTCTTAACCACTCGTATGATTAAACCAATGCCAACAGATTTTTTTTTTTCTTTTCCATATAAAATTATTTGTATTAAATTTAAATTGCTTTTTTCAAGAAATCTATATATATTTTTTTCTTCCATTAACAAATCGTCCTGACATCGAATCACCAATTTGGGTTTATCACATTTTCTTGAGAAAAATAAAAGAAAAGAAAGATTCCACATAGGAAAAAGCCACTCTCGTCGTTTAAAATCTCTAAAATTCGACACGTGGCAGATTAAATACCAAATAATTACAGCCAGGATATTTTGTAACTCTTAGACAAAATTATAGTTAACATCAAAGAGGAGGGATTCACCTCAGAAAGTGTGAGACTGAAAATTATAAAACATCATTCTCACTATTTGCATAATTGAAAGTAGAAGATTCTTGGGATTCACCAAACATTAGCTGCCACGTGGTGGTGACTTCAATTATTTTACAACTTTTTCTTCACAAACAATAAAATGCCTAGTACCCCTAGGTATTAATTATACTCCTTAATTGACATTGACTTTAAAAAGTGTGATAAAAAAGTAATTTGAAGAAATATTTTTTAAATTATTTATTTTAAAATTTAAGTGTTTGGAGTTATTGTTAAAAAATTATTTTTAAATAAATACAATATTTGTTTTAGATATTATTTTTGAAAATATAAAAAATGATATATATATATATATATATATATATATATATGTGAGAATAAATAAATAAATAATTTTATTTAAAAATACTTTTTTTAAAAAGATAAAAGCTAAAACTTTCATATTTTGAAACTCACTTTTAGCATGAGAAATTATATGTTTTGCATTGCTTTTAGTGAGCCAAAAATATTTTTGAAAAGTATTAAAATACAATATCTAAATATTAAAAAAATTATACAAATAAAATACCATAAATTTATTAATAGTATTTTTAAAAGTATAGAACTTTATTCATAATAAAAAACAATAATATACCAATCAAAATTTCAAAAGACTTACTCTTAAATCAATATATTTGTACAATACACTTAAATCTAAGTCATTGTGAAAATTTTGATATTATCTAATCGATTATCGTTATTAATAACAACCAAAATTTGATAAGGAATAAATTTTCAATTAAAATATTTTGCATGAGATACGACTACTCTATCAAGGAAGTGAAACACCTTATTAGTACCCTGTTGGATCCATCGAATATATATATATTGAAAAATAAATGAATATCGGTTGGAATAACGACGGTAAAACCAACCATAAAAGAATAGAAAAAATAAAAATATGATCAAAACTTGCATGAGAGAAGGTATTTTCAATAATTTTTGTAAGAAAATAACAAGACTTACTAAATAAAATAAAATCTCATATCTATAAAATAAATACAAAATAGAGGTTGTTGGTAATCAAATCAACATCATATGGGCACGGACAATGGATGAACGTGAGAAAAGAAATGCAATCATGATTAATGTGTCAAATAAAGGAAAATAGGGGGGGGGGAATGGAAGAAAGAAAAGTAGAGAAAAGAAGAGAGGGTGAGGTGTAAGGGTGAACAAAATTTGACTTGATTCGAAAAATTAATTTTTTTAGCTAGATTCGACTTTAAAAAATTCAATTCGAAAAAATTTCAAATTCAATTCGAATTGTAAAATACAACTCGAATAACTTGAATTTTTCAGTAATTAATAGATTGATTTTCAAATTTTAGTCAGAGTTTGAGTCAAGTGCATCGACTTTGTATTGTATATGTAAATCACATATAAAAAAATACAAATATATATATGTATTGTATATATAAGGGTGTTCAAATCCTGAGACTTTCGGGTCACAAAAGTTCGGCCCGTGGCCCGGCTCGTAAGAAGCAGGTATCCGTAAAACTCAGGTGCCTTCATTTTCGGGTCACAAGTACCCGATTAATATTCTTTTTAGTTTTTTAATTTATATTAATTTAAAAAATTCCACATAGAAAAAACACAAAAGTCAAAAATTTGTAATGCATAACATAAATACAAAATTTGTAAATTCAACTTATATAATCTAAAAAAATTACAACTAAATTTGAACTAATTTTATATTAAAATAAATAATTTAATAAATAATTAAATGTTAAAGTGAAATAATTTGGAAAAAAATAGAGATTTAAAATGTTATGGTAAAATAATTTTGAAATTAGAAATAAAAAATCTAATTTAAAATAAAAATAATAATAAAATAAAAAGGAAACCGGGTCGGCGGGTCAACGGTACCCGATTAAGGGTAATTTTGTGACCCGGGCCCGACCCAAAAAATCAGATATTTACCTCTAAAATACCTGATAATTTTACACCGAGTCAGCGGGTCGACAGGTCGAGTAGTTGGGGCCGAGTACTTTTGACCACCCCTAATTGTATATGATAAAATATCATTTAAAAAAAATCAAAATGATGGCATAATATTGTAAATATTTATAATTAAATTTAAATAGAAATTCTAAAATTTAACTTGACTTGACTCAACTCGAAAATTTTCAAGTCAACTATGAGTTATAAAATAGGACTCGTCAACTCGAATAAGTCAAAAAAATTTACTGACTCAACATTTAAACAAGAATCGAACGCGTATCCCTAGTAAGATGAAAGAGATTGTTGAATACTTGAGGGTCATTGATGGTTTTCTAACCTTAGAACTGTTGGGTAAAAGAAATAAGAGAGAAAAATTATATATGGTAAATTATAAGGGACAAAATTATATATATATATATATATATATATATATATATATATATATATATATATATATATATATATATATGGTAAATTATATTTATGATCACTTAATTATTATCTATTTATTTTAAAATTTATTTTTTAATTTTACTTTGACTAATAATCTTTTAATTTTATCAATTAAATCACTTAACTATTTAATGTTGCTAATTAAGCCACTTACCGTAATATTTAACAAAAAAAACTGACGTAATAATTAAATGATGCAAAATGTTGTTAAATGACGTATACGTATTTTTGTGAATGTTTGATGCAAAAATATATGTCGGTAAGGTAATGCATATGTGTGTACATGATTTATATACATGCTTTCATGATTGATGTCGATACAAAAATGAATGGAATCATGCATCGCTTAACTGTTTCCTACCATTACTTTTTTTTAACATGTGGTTTACTTGAACCCATCATAAACAACGTTTATTTTAGTTGAATTAATAGCAAAAAGCCGTTATCTTTTCTTTGAATATAAAAACTGGCAATTATTTTCTACAGCTAAAAGTATACTTGGGGAGATATATGCTAAACTCAACGCTAACGATTTGTCTCGACACTTCAATTCTCAATACTAACCTTTTTTTGTTTGTAAATGAAGACAGCGTTAAAGGTTTTGAGGATGACGAAACTATATTACGATAGATTAATGAAAAGAAATCTATATTTTTGGGATTAACTATTACATACGAAGATTGAGTTAAAGAATTGAAACTATATTATGATAGACCGATAAAAAGAATTTTCAAAATTTAGGGATTAATCACAATTTTCATATGAATTCTAATTATTTATTTCAACAAAAAAGTGGAAATTACGAGATGCAGTGGTGATTAATTGAAACCGAGTTGGATTGATGAGAGGAATGAAATAAAAATATGGGGAAATGAAAACATTTATTTTACAAAGGAAATGAAAACATTTTAAAAATGTTGTTATAAAAAGATTTAATTTTAAATGGTTTGTAATTGAAGGTGTTATAAAGAGTTTTTATCAATTAGATTGAGATAGAATGCTTAGTAAAAATGTCATTATTTCT